GTTATTCTAATGAAAAACTAATACTTTAGCTTTCTGTACCCCTGGCATGGATTGTTGTTTGCAGATAGATGAATGAAGCCCTAGCTGCCTTCTGTCATGAGTCTGAAGTCTGCAATATGCCATGCAGGACTGAGCAGGATGAATCACACCAGCCCACAGCCACTGAGTCATCCATCTGTCCAGGTCTTGACTTTACAAGCTAGAGTGATTTAACCAAATGGTGTCTTATAGTGCCCAATGATAGATTTTACATTGCTTGTGTGACAGATTTTACAGTGATCATTGTCAACTTTACTGCAAGTCACTCTCTAATAATTCCAGCCCATAACTGTGTAACAGTTTGATACCATATGTAATCTGATATCTACTTCTTGTGTCTGCCTACCTGCTTCCTTAAACAAATCCACCTTGCCCAAACTGTTATAGATTAAATATTGGATTGTATCACAGGATACACTGAACAAGAGAAAAGTTGTACAGGGTACACAGAAGAGGCAGGTTGAATATATTCTTTGTCATAAATTTTCACTCAGGAATCTATGAGACAATTTACATAGCTAATTTTCATTCTATGTTACAAGATAAATAACTTACAAAAACTCATTTTGCAGTCACCAGCTAAGGCTTTTACCTTCATGACTGGAATTAATGAAGTTCTCATCCTTTACTCTGCTGGGCACATGAGCAGTCCCCTGATTCCTCTGGGTAATTTTTTTGGTTTATTTTAAGAAATGTACTGCAGTACAGAAGTCACACCCATTCGCTCCCACTATCTTGCTCTAGACAGTGCAAAGCTCTAGCATAGATCAAAACTCTAGCATTCTGTGAGTTAACAAACAAATGAAATATAGCCATGGACATATGGAAATATCACCATTTAAACTAAAAAAGTCATAATTAAAAGTAATTATGTAAGCAGTCTCCTAAGATCCCTGTTTTTTTTAAAGAATAACAAAGAGCCTGCAGCATGTGAAGAAGGCACTAGGGAGTTGTGTAATCAAGGATGTTTGGCTCATTATTTCTTTGAGTGTAATTATTTTATTTTTCCAATAGTTCTACATCATTTTTTTACAGGCAATTTTGCATATACAGTTCTGAGGCATTTATAATGGATGCAACACTTCCTATCAATATTAACTTTTATCAAAAGCAAACAGGAATATAAAAAAACAGACTATGTTAAATGTCTAATCAGTACCATTACACTTTTAATTAGAAATGTCATAAAGATGCAAAAACAAAAATTAGGATATACTACCCAATTCAGTTTCAAAACAATCAGGGATCTACATGTGAGAATGAAAAAATTAATATCCAAGCCACTAATTACTAAACAGAAAAAAGTGCATAACACTTCCTGAATGACATTTTGCTTGGTAGAAGATAAAATTTGTGATTAAAGTTTTTAAAATTTAAAAATTGTTTAATACTATCCACTTGATAGTATTAATGACAGATATTAATTTACTTTATTGCCATAAAAATTATTAGTCATTAACTTTCCCAGAACAGTTGTTTGTTAATAATAATATAGGTATCTCTATATTTATTTATTTTATATCATTTAAAAAGCACAAAACAGAGCTATGTCTCATAGTCTACAGTATGAGGTGCTTTAATAAGGCAAGCCCACAAAATCATTGGAATTATTAGGTATATATCAATTAAAAATCTGGGTATTATAGCTGTAGTTTAGAACCAATTCTCAATAATTTGGTGCAGTTTCACTTTTTCTTGTTTATTTCTAATTCAGTATGTTAGTAACCAATTTGGTTTCCAGAGCATAGCATACTGAATACAACACCTTTGATTTACAGCTCCATGCTCTGTGGAACGCTAAGAGAAATCATTATATAATTCTAATAAGAGTGATTAGTTATGTGTTTATTTACATACTGAAAGTGAACCACCTATCTGTCTGTGCTTCCAAGACCAAATTGACTAGAGGTCAAACCAAACTAAACAAACAAACAACAGACAAAAACAAAAGAGCCCCCTCAAAAAAACTCATAACTTTTTGTGACTGAGCATTCTGACTGCAGGTGAAATTTCTGGGGGAAGAGGAAGCTCTATAGTGTACACACACAGCTTTGAAAAGTTTGTGTCAGGATAAACAAAACTTGACCAAAACTTTCTGCAACCTTGCAAAGCCTTCTTTCTCCTTTTTCCAGATCAATTTATTTCACACACATTAGAAATGAGTTCTTTTCCAACACTGATTTAATATGAACCTTTGAATTTCATTATTCCTTTTTATATTACATGCCCCTCTGTGTCCTTACAGTATCCTTGATTCTTTTCAAAACATTTACCTCACTAGAACTCTGGCACTGAAGTCATACTTGTTCCACGGGGTACCAGCCTTTCATAGAGAGTCAGTCCTTCTTTTCTGCATTTTTTGCTAAGATTTCCCACAAAATAGTGTAGCTATCAATACAAGACAAAAATATTGTTATTTAGGACTTCTGTTTCTGATGCAGCAATATATGTGTAATATGAAGCAATATATTGCTTCTATGAGCAATATACTGTTTCTCTATCTCCTGGTACTAAGCAACAAAATTTCTAACACAAAATTTTAACCCAGGTCCGCTAATAATTAAATTGTGCTTAAATACCTGTTTAAATGTACAGTGTTTCCTTGAATGCGTAATTCAATAGATGTATCAAAAGAAAGTAATGATTCAGGTTAAAACAGGTTCAGTCATTCTTAGATTTTTGAGACCACGGTAAATTCAATGATAGAAAACCTAAAGAGTGATATCCTCACTGACATTTTTATTTGGCAGTTTTGTCTAAAAATTCATTACCTCACATATTCACATATGTGACTTCACATATGTTCACACACTCAGCGTCGAAGAGCCACCTGCTCTAAGATACGTTTCTAATTCACAAGAACTTCTGCCTTTATTTTACTCTATGCTTCCCAAATCTGAGCCAACACTGAGATTCAACAGACTTTCCATTGTAAGTTAGCCACTTGTGTTAGGAAACGTTTTATTCAGAGTAACACACACACAAAAGAAAAAAAAAAAAAGTTGTTTTCAGCTAAACCTATTGCTGTAGCATACAAACAAGGCAGTTTGTTTATCTTCAGTACCATGTAAGCATAACTGCTACTGATTTTTCCAATTTGCATATCATTCTCATGCTATTTTATGCTTTCATTTTGGAATGCAGTACTTCAGGCAACCAGTACTGTCTGCAGCGCTAAAGTTTCTGTGATGCCAAAGGCACATTCCAGAGCTGTTCTTATTGTCTTCATTTGACCCTACATTGATCAGAAAATAAAGATTTTTTTGGAATGATGGAGAAACCACAAACCAGAATGAAAGCACTTTTAAAGAATAGGATTTTCTTGTATTGTCCTATTTAATTTCCACAGATAGAGAAGAAAAAATCCAATTTCAGCAGACTTAATTTTGGCATCTGCATCACTGCAGTCCTTGAGAAAGATCTATGAAGACTAATCAAGTAGGAACAAAATTACTGATCAAATCCATATGCTCATCCTCAAGTGCAAAACATTTTAATCCTAAACCTACTGCCTCCCCATTAGCATTTCCAAAATCTTGTTGAAAATCTCAGAAGAAACACGATTAAAAAGTTACAGGGAAAAATGTTTATAGTAGAGCTTATGTTTAAACTTATGGCATGATTATCTTTTAAATGTGCATTTTCCTCTGGTCTTTATCATGCCAGGCTACCTACACATTTTGACAGGTGGAAGGATGTATATTTCAAAGAAAAGAAAAAAAAAAAAATAGACAAACTATTCAGAAGTAACCATAAAGAAGAGAAATAACAAGTCAAGATGCCAAGTCATGTAAACTCACAAAAACTGACAGGGAGCAGAGGTCAAAATTCCAAAATCCTGCCAAAGTTTTCTTGACAAGTGCTGAGTGGTTCATGACAAAGGGGTTGTTTCAGGGGTTGTTTGCTTGGTGTTTTTTTAATTATTCTTAAATATTTTTTTTAAGGGGATTGATTTGCTGATTTGGAAAGGGGGTTCATTCTCTTTTCAATTAACTGAGCTTTTCATAAAGACTGCTTGATTTTTAGAGATATTTTCAAGTGTTCCTCTGTAAGGCATCTCTAAGAAAACCTCTAATACACAAGAGTTTTCACAGAGAGAGCAAAGAAAGAAAAATGAAAAATTCCACTGAAGAAAATCTGAGAATCCTTAAACTCTGTGTGTGTGTGTTCATGCTTCTTTTTCCCTTGTTGTACAGAACTAACTGAACAGCCTCAAAGTATAATGGAGATTTTGCTTTATCAAATATCTCCCAGTCAGCTAGACTGAAGGAGCTCCCACATTGTCCTCTAGAATTAAGAAATTTAAGTTAAGAACAGGAAAGGAACATGATAGCCAGAGGAAATTTGGATGTGAGAGTCAAATTTTGCTGCCTCTCTCTAGTGTCTATCATTCCATCATATTCTTCTTTTACATATCTTTTCCTTTTCCCTAATCAATGCAACTTTGTTCCCACCCTTCCTCTTGCTCATATCAACTTTTTACTTTATCTTTCTGACAAAAACACAAACAAGAAAACCTCCACAAAAATAGGTTCATTCCTCCTCCACCCCAATGCATCCACTGCTGAGAAATAAATCAGAAACTGAAGCCTTCATTTCTCTAATTCTTCATGTTGACACTGTATTTGTTAATGTAAAGTGAAACTGCTTAATTTTTTCAAAATGTAAGCTATATAATGCACCAAAGCTTTAAGGATGCAACACAGTCCCTTCATCAGCCAGTTGTGCTGTTATGGCAGCCATATGAGTGCACCTATAACCCTGCAAGTGCCTTCAGCACATACACTATTAAAGCAAACTTCCCACATAGCACCATGGCTGTGCCAGCACGAACAGATTAGACCAAGAAAAAAAATGAAAAGCTTTGTTTTCCTTTGAGAAAATAATTTGTCTGATACCAGAATTATCTATACATGAGTTTACAAACAGGCATGCACAAGCCACAAAGCTGCTGGGTCACACAGGAGTTGAATTAGACACGTCTTCCTGTCCAAATCTCTCTTTTTTAAACGAAATGTACGCAGTTCCATGAATGCCAAAATCACATGCTTTCCATCAATTTCCAGTGGTGAAAGATGTTATTAATACTTCATATACTTCTAGGTCTGCAAAAGAAACTGTATCATAAGTCATGAATATGAGGAAAGTGGAGATAAGAGTGACAGCTCAGCCTTAGCTCTCTCCCAGCTTTGAAAGTTTGCTATCTCAGCTGGATTCATGATATTTGTGCTCTTGGTGCCAGACTATATACAGTATGTCATCAAAACAGTTCATAAAACATGTGATGACAGTACTTTACGCAATCCCCAATGTGCCCTTTTCCCCTCAAGATAGCAGTGAAAAATATTATAAAAGAAAAGTTGCTTAAATGCTGGCTTTTGTATTTCACTGCAGAACTTTCTGTACAACAGGAAGGTATCAGAGAGGAAAGAGCTATGAGAGAAAGTTACACCTGCAGCCTGCAGCAAATACTGCTAAATTTTATAGTGATTTTTGGTGTGCTTCAGAAGGCATGGAGCAGAGGTTACAGGAAATCAACGATTCTCTTGTGAATCAAAATTTATGAGGAAAAGGATCTTACTTGGTAAAACTATTTTGTTCATTATTTTTTCTAGAGTAGAAGCAATGTGCATTGTCACTGTAGTTCATATCAGATTCCCTGTTACAGCAAAACAAACCCCCCTTTTTTAGCTACAGCACACCCTTCTAAAAAGTAAATCTTGCTTGTGATCAGCAGTAGGAAATTTCAGAAAATCTATGGTCTCTAAAACAACTGTCATTTAGGGATGTTTTCACTGGTGGTGATGTGGTTACAAAGTATGTCAGAAGCCATGTGCTTTTTACTTATTTTCTATATGTTTAGGGTCAGTAAAGGCTAAGCCAAAACCTGAAGAAATTTCTCACCCTGGAAACTTCTGCTGTAGTCCAGCATAGTCTGAATACCCAGCTCCAACACATTCACCAGTAAAGCTCCAGTAGAGTTGGCTGAGAAAAATCAGAAAATGATTCATCAAAACAAAATACTCTGTACAACCAAAAATATTTCACTGCCACAACTTGTGCTGGTGTTCCTCTGCTTTGGCCTCCATGTGCTACAGTCCTGTTGCTCTTCCTGGCTCAACATACTCTGTGGCTGCAAACACAAACGCAGCATCACCTTGCCAGAGTGCACACACCCAAACAAAGGAAACAAGAGCTCCCTAACCTGCTGCCCAGTCACTGCCTTTAACACAATGACATTTTCAGAAAAAGGTGAACAAATGTGTTGACATGGGAAGACAGAACCTTTCTTGCTTTCATAAAGATAAATAACAACATTTTCAAAGTAATAAATTTCAGCTTTTCAGTACACAGATGCACTAAATCTGTAGTTCATTTGGAGAATTACAACTTCTGCTAAAACTCCCAATTTACTAATTCATACCTATTATTAAAAAAATTATAATTATTAAGATTTATTCACTGGACATTTGCTTTCTAATTTCCATCAATTTACAGTCATCCTATGCTTTAACTGTTCTGTATCCCACTGAGCTAACCACAGAAAATGCAAAAATGCAACTCTACCTACTCATTCCTTGCTGTCACTGGAACATACAAAGACAAGGGGAACTTTACAATAATAAATTCTTATAAATCACTGGTCTGGACAATTAAAGGGGTCCCCAAATCTTGGAAACCTCACAGACAATATTTGTCAGCACTTCCCTCACCTTTCTATGGAGAAACCTCTAGTTTGGCAGTGCCTGCTGGTCATTGTTACAGTATCACACAAGCAAGGGGATAAACTCTGAGGAAAAGGGTTATGTTTAGAAAAGCTGAACAACATTTAAAATATTCAAGTAGGTTTTTTTTTTCCCAAAACTGCAAATTATGTGACATTATTTACCTTTCTTCAAGTAAATGGTTCATGACACATTGTCATTAAGGGATTACCAGGAAGTGGCACATAGACCAGAACTATTAAAGGATTTACTTACTCAAAACTGGAGGCTAAACATCATTCAATGTATTCTCACAGCTCCGCCGAGGCTTCAAGCTAGCTTTGATCCTGAGTACACTGCGAGGTTCCAACATTTCACTATGCCCACTGAGACAGGGAGTCTAAACAATCTTAGATTGATGGTGCAAGGCCTGCGCAAAAACAAGGGGAGGTGTATGGGACTGTTCGAAAAAGACATACCAAGTACTGATAACGTTGCTAGGCGATTAACTCCTAGCCCAAAGAGAAGTCCCTCCTAGTCTCTGAAAAACAGACAACCCCAAAACATTGGACTGGAAGAAAGCCAGAGAACAACTGAGGCTGCGCAGAGCGATAAGGAGAAAAGTTCATCAGCGAAGAAGAAGAGGAGACCTGATTACCATGAGAAGCGAGGGGAGGCGGGGGTAGACTATGTATATGTATAGGCGTTTTATGAATATGCACTATTTTGTAACATATAAGCCGGACGAGAGCTGCAGACGGCGCGCATGCTTGTGGTGGAGCGATCCCCCATGCGCCCAGCGCTGAATAAACATACCCACTTTATAACCCCGAAAGTTATGGAGTGATTTCTCCGCAAAACACCCACAGTATTAAACTCTGTCTCTCCAGTAGTCATCCCAGCATGGTCATAATACTGTGTCATCACATAATCTTGTGCTCCTATACATGACCTGGCTAGTGCCATTGTCATTCAGCAAGGGCTTTCAATAGCTGCTGCCTGTCTGCCTTCAACCCTTTTCAGCTTTCTCTGAAGCTGACCCTCACACCTGAAGTGATTTGCCAAAGGCTGGACAGTTAACCAGTGACTTAGTTTGCACTAGAACAAAAGAACCCTCATTTTCTTACCACTGAGCTAGCCATCAGGTACCTTCCCTGAAGTTTCTGTTTCAGCAAAAGATATGTTTGAATGTCCAAAATAAAGCTGTCAAGCAGACCGTTTGGTACTTGTCCATTTGACCATCAACTTTCATAATTATTTCATGATTATCTGTTTGTTACATGCTTTTCTGGGATTGCTATGAAGTGAAATAAAGTATACAACAGTTGATAAAATATGACCCTTCATTGCTTTGGATTACCTCCTAAAAGCATTGCAAAGTGTGGCTGCAGGATTATGGCCTCAGTGATGCAGAACTGTTTTCTGCCTTAACTGGTTTCTCACAAGTGTTTCATAACATTAAACTTCTTATCAATTTCCCATTAGTGCCTCTTCAACAGTTAAAGTGGTGAGATTAACTATCCCTCCTGAGCACTTGTAGCAACACATGACTGTGACTTTATGACTATGTGTACCATGAGAGGGACATGATCTGAGCACAGCAGAGCCAGCCATACATTGATATGTCTTAATAGAGCTCTAGACCTTCAATAGGTCACTGAAAGCACAACAGGACAAAGGTTGAGAGCAGTGCAGACAGACAGCAATGCTGTTGTTTGAACTTCACCTTTGGAAAGTCTCTTTCTTTTTCAAAACTAACTGTCTAAGCAAACTCCATCTTCAGGAATTTCTCTGTCCTTTTTCTTAAACCCTGACTGATTTTGTTCTCTCATCCTCATCTCCCCGAACCCAAAACCATTTCAATTAAGATCAACACTACAAGGGAAGTGGATCACAGATGGAATAATATGCACATTAATCTATCCCAAAACATCAGTGCACAGAAAAATATCCTTGACAATTCCTTGGGCTTTTTTGTGTCTGCTCCTCATCCCCTAATCTATTTCTAAAATATAGGGGTTTAAAATTCTCTGCTGCTTGCAGGTTGCACTGTGTGCTGCAGAAATATCCTACCTTTCTCCAGGGATGTTTCCAGAGCCCTCACACATCTCCTCAAGCTTTCATTTCCATTGGTGGGAAACTAAGGAGTGCAGCTGAGAAGCTTAAGTTTCATCTAGCTACTCAGCCTCAAGAAGTGGGGGATCCTGGTCACACCACGGAGTCCATCTTCCACATTTTCATTCAAATCCTAAAGAATACAGTGGTGGATGTGAGACTTGTGGTTAAAACAAAAAAAAAAAAAAAAAAAAAAAAAAAGGGGGTGGGGGAGGGGGGAACATGACAACTCAGTACTCAAAAGCAAGTGAAAAGGCAAAAGGGTAATGGAGAGGAAGACATAGGCAAGTGCAAATTAAGAGAGAATAATCAAAGGAGCAGAGAAAGGACATTAATACAAAACAGAAAATTGTTGATAAAGCCTAAAAGGTAAGAGAAAGTGTGAATTTTGTGGAGAACAGTTAACATAGCTGGCCTGCTGAACAGCATGTGACCAGCAGCAAAATTTTAGATGCTATGTTAATTCAGTCATACATTAAATGGCACAGCAGGCAAAACTTCTTTATTTCCATATGTTTTCCTAAAACAATTTAGGTTTCAGGTTTTTTTCAGAATACTGTTAATACCAAATCTATTTGTGTCCTCAAACAAAAGCATAAACCTAAGGCAGGAATGAACACCACATTTTTAAGAGATGTCTTTTGCAGAAAAGAAGTATGCCAGTATTCATATGCATAACACATCAAGTATCCTCTTTTGGCACTACTTCGGAAACAAACATGTATCACATTACATATTTTAATAAACAAAATATTCAGGGTAAGACAGAAACCTACTCAGACATGTTTTAAAGCTCTCTCAGATTAATTTTAGTGGCACATCTGAATCTGAACTGAGGCATTGCTGAGTACCCCAGGGACAGAAAAGTTTGTTGTTCATGGCCAATGTGTGAGAGCACTGGGGTAGGGGAGGGTGGTCTTTTTGAACAGGTCTTATGTTGAATATATTATGGTTACATGTCAGGTTTGATGTCATCCCTTCAGTTTTAAAATTAATTAGCACTAAAGAAGTTTAATAGGATGATTTGAGGGTCATGTCACATTTGTAAAATCTACTGGGTCAAGGGATATCAAAGTTGGGCATGAATAGTCCTATCAGCAGCTGTATTCCCCTCTATGTTGCCATGTACTCTCCTGTCTCCCACTGCATGGTCCTGCTATCAATCTCACAAAGAGCAGCCAGTTCTCTGGTGTTTGGCAGTGCTATTTGGCACAGTTTCCTACCAGGAATGTGGAAGGGATAGAAATGGGGAATGTTCCTTTTCCTCTTTCCTCCCTGTGAGCAGTAACACCCCACACTAGGCAAAATCCCAGGTGAGGGAGAGGTAACATTTATGTAATGTCAGCAGGTGTCTGTGAATCTCAGGACAAGAGTGGCTGAAGGAAGGGGCTGTTCTGTATGCCTAATACACATGGAGCAAAAACCCTGTGGATGTGAAATTCCAAGTTTCACACAAACCCCAGATGTAACCTTAGCCACACTGTTTAGCAGAGACATAAACCCACATGACCTCAGGCATCCCAGATGTATCTGCTTGACCCATAATCACATCCACTCTTTGCAAACCCTCTCTTTGGCTTCTCTGTCCTTGACACCAGCCCCACTGCTGCCCAGCACAACTCCTTCCTCAGCTCTGCAAAGGAGGGAAGGATTAGGGTTAGTGTTAAGGTTAGGGTCAAGGTTAAATCTGAAAGTTTCCTTCCTAGGCAGTTTTTCCTGTTACAAGCATACCCTCTAGCATCTCCCACATCAAGGCCAGTTGTCTGACTGGTAGTCTGCTGCTTAGAGAGGGTCTAAAGAGATATATTTCCCCTTAAAGAGCAACTCTGGGGAAAGGGCCTTTGCAAACACTTTCAGACATATTACTCATTTGTTTCCAGTTCTTAGACTTGGAGTCTGTCCTGCATCTCTCATTCCGAGAAGCAAGGGAAACAACATGAGATGTTAGAGAGTGTCTAACAGAGTCGTTAAAGAAGCAGTCCCATGCAAACTATCATCTTCCCTTCCCCACTGGGAGAGTGTGAAAGTGGTCCTCATTAAATTCTGAAATAGCTCTGGATATTCACAATGATGTGTTTGTCTTTTAAAAAAGTTTCGTTCTATCTTATTTCTGCTAGTATCAGTTAATGAGATGTGAATGCTGGACCTGGGCTGAACCCACCATAATCATTTCAAGAAGGGCATTAAGCAGTCATCACCTTATAATGACACTTGGCCATTCTCACTGTGAACCTGCACACAGGATTTCAAATCATTATATTTGAGGGGAAAGGCATTGCATGCCATTATCTCATCCCCAAATGCTGAAATTCTGCACTGCTAACGTCTATCAACACCGCATTTTTTTGTATCAAAACCAGAGATTTACTGGTCATGTTGTAGACAACTGTGGAAAACTATGATATTATATCTGGCCACAATAATAATGCATTTGGCCAGAGAACAGATATTACATTTCAACATATTTTTCCATAATGAAATGTGATTGACATTTTTACAATATTTTCCATGTAAATCATGTTTATTGTGTTTAGAAGCTGCTTAACTGGCAGCACCCCAGTGGAAGCAAAATAGCATTCACCTTCTTGAAACTCACAGTCCCTATTAATAACTGTGCTGAGATAAAACTGCTGTTATTTCTTGAAATCCTGTATAATCCAAATGTACATCAATCCAAACACCGCATTTAGCAGCCACAACAAAGAATCAGCATGAAGTGGAAAAAAGTCAGGTAGCTGGAAGATCACTGGGGTGAGCACCAATTCATAGCCACTAGCAACAGTGATGAGGCTTGCTAGTGTCAGGTGCACTAGTTTAATGGCTAAGTGATCTTATAATTAAACCATTATTTAGTAACACTGTCATGAACTGCATCAAATACAGTACTACATTTAAAAGAAAATATGTCATTCAAAAAGATTGTTAAAGGGAATGGGATAGTTTTCTGCTATGCCAAATACTTTGTCAAACTGACACCTGAAGCAAAGAGATTAAATGCTTTAGACTTTATTATTCTTATTTCTACCTGTTAAGGAATAATATTTTCTCCTGAGTTACTGACCATTAATATTGAAATCAAAGTTTTGCAAAGCACTGTTAGTCACTCAAGGTAAATGTTGTTTTCAGGAAAATATTTGCAACTGGCTTGATGATAAATCACATCCAAGTTATTTCCTGTAACAAAAGGATAATACAATTTAAAGAAAAATTACTAGACAGTGGTTTAAGAGGATATGAATCAAAGACATAACAGTTTAGAAGTATGCAAGTTTTTCTGTATGTTTTGTACTTCTCTGCGTACCTTTGTAAGAAGTACTGGAACATAATGCTTCAACTTGTATGGAATATTTCTTCTCCTTTGTGATTGTTCATATAAGGATAAGGGAAGGGGATAAAGCGGCTTAATTGTTCCCACGTTCCACATTGAGGTACATCAGGTTTTTAATCATGTGCCATCTTGCCAGGTATATCAGTTACTGCCACTCCAGCCTTGGATGCTGTAGGGTTAACAGCATTTTGTACACATTTTTTAAAGCTGAAAACTCATTTTAACAGTTCTTTTCTGAGAGGAGAAAAAAAAAAAAAAAAAAAAAAAAAAAAAAAAAA